TTTATCATAAATGGCTGCTGTATTTTGTCAAATGCTTTTTCTGCATCTATTGATATGACCATATGATTTTTATTTTTATTTTTGTTGATGTTGTGTATCACGTTAATTGATTTGTGGATGTTGAACCACCCTTGCATATTAGGTCATGCATGTATGATCTTCTTAATATATTGGTGAATTCTGTTTGCTAAGATTTTGTTGAGGATTTTTGCATATATGTTCATCAGAGATATTGGCCTGTAGTTTTCCTTTTTTGTACTGTCTTTATCTGTTTTTGGAATCAGGGTGATTGTGGCTTCATAGAAAGAGTTTGGGAGCCTTCCCTCCTGCTGGATTTTTGGAATAGTTTGAGAAGAATAGGTAATAATTCTTTTTCGAATGTTTGGTAAAATTCACTTGTGAAGCCATCTGGCCCCAGGCTTTTATTTGTTGGGAGCCTGTTGATTACTGATTTAATTTCCTTGGTGGTAATCAGTTTATTCAGGTTTTCTGTTTCTTCTTGAGTTACTTTCATGATTTGTTTTCTGTGGTTTACAGCACTATCATTATGATACATTTTAGTGAGTTTATTTTAATATTTATTGCATATAACATTTCTCGAGTGTGCATCTCAAACTCCTTTTAGTTTTGAACTCATAATTCTTAATGTAGGTATTATGTTTGAAAAACTAAAAAGGAAATCCAATTAGACTGGTAATTAGATAAACTTTATTAATATTTTAGGATAGAATAAACTGGTAATTGATTATGTCTAAGAATCAAAAAAGAGTGAAGAAATATTTACAAAAAAAAGTGATCAGGCTAACTAGGAAATAGTTCATAATTATTAAAAATGTTCCGCGATTATTAACAATGCAAGCAAGACCCTCATATTTTTTTGGTGTTTCACAATTAACGGCAGTATACATCTTTTTCCAAAACTTAATGTTTTGCTTAAATCTTCATGCTTTAGATACGATATCCTAATATTTGTCTGTATTTAAAGCTAATGATTTTCTTTTACTGGTAAATTATAGGGATCGGCTGTGTGGAAAATTAATATGTAAATATGAAAGAGAAAATATACTTCATATCCATAATGCCACTGTTACTTATTCTAACATAAGTGGACATATCTGCATCTCATTGGAGTATGAACCTAATCATGAAGACAGTGCAAAGATGTGGGTAAAAGATGGAACAGTTTGTAATAAAAATATGGTATGTAGTCTTTTATTTCCAAATGACTTCCTAATATTTTATACTCTATTTTTAAATGCATATTTAGTATTTTCCTCATAATTTAAGTTCACATTCAATTTCACAAATAAGAAAATAGAAATTTTTTTAAATACTTAAGAAGAAATATAATATAATCTGCATTAATTCATAGATAATATACCATGAATATCATTGGCTTTTTTCATAGAAATTATGTATATTCACTTGAATTGAGAATCATATTGTTCATTCACTGTTTTATTAAATTAGATCATATTTCACGGCATACTTCTAATGTCATGAATTATTTTATGGTATAGTTACTTTAAAATAGTTGTTAAAATAATGTACATTCATTTTTAGTGGTGAAAATATTAAAGAATGCATAAAGTGAAAGTTAATTAAAGGCATAAATCTGAGATGTAACTACTCTTTCCATTTTCATGAACCTTCTATCAACTCTTTATTTATATACATATATACACTAACATAGAATACTTATCTAGCTATACTAACTATATATATATTTTTTACAAGAACATCCCATCTTATTGTCTGATTTTGCTCTTTTATCATTCTATAGTACATATGGATATGTTTCAACATTTTCTGTCTTCCTAGATTTTTCCTCTATGAAATATATGTTACTGATATAGATATACATAAATACACAACAAAGCTTAAGCTTAAATTATTCTCAGATCAAAAATTTTAATTATAAAGTTTGTCTGGTCTAATAAGAAACATAATATATTAAACCAGCTAATTTAGAACAGATGGAAAGGCAAAATATAATTGACTTGGGAACAGAAGATTTTATTTTTTTTAAGAGAGGAGTAAAAATTTTATGTTTTGGCTACAACCAGGTATAAATGAAATCTAACAATTTTTCACATTTTACTTGTAAATCATGAATGTATACATATTTAAAATATATTATTTTACCTGATAATTATGGAAATATTTGTCATACATATTAAAGTCCTATCACAAACTAACTTTACTAATATTCATTTAAAAATTAGGAAGTAAAAAAAGTAAACAAAAGAAAAATTGTCACTCTAAATTCTTACACAATAGTTCATTTAAAAAACTTTGTAATAACTTTGCTTTTATGAGATTCACTTTGCAAAATACTTCCCAAATTATTGCCAAACACTCTTTAATTTTTAACTCTTCATTATTTCTAAACAGCCTATCACAGTTAGGAATTTCACAGGAAACAAGAATCACCAAGAATGACTTAAACAGTGTATGGTTTATTCTTCTCTATCATGTAAAAAAATTGTGGAGATGTCCATCCAGAGTAGATATGGGGTTCCATCATGTTATCAATGATTCAGACTCAGCCTAATTTTCAGCTGTAGTTCTTGTACAGTGATACTCTTCCTTATGCTTTCAAGATGGTTGATGGAACTTCAACTATGTCCACATTTTAAGAAGGATTATTGGGAAAAGCTAAGGGGAAAAAGGGTGCATGGCATTTTTATTCACCACAGTTAGTGAACAGGATGAGGAATATCTGGCAGTCACTACTCTACCTACCACAGTATTCATGACCAAGGTAATGTTTTATCAAATCTACTTTATCTACTATTACATCTACCTCAGCAGCTTGAAAACATGCTACTGTTTATCATTAAAATGCAATATATAATGATGTGTGAGAAGTTTCTGTTTCAAGATAGAGAGATAGAGGGCCTGAGTGGAGATCTTGGAAGGTATTATCCAAGTGATCGCTGCAAAACTTTGGCTTCATATATATCTATTAGCAAAAGATGATCAAACTAGCTGCATGTCAGAGCTCTAAAATTTTTTATGTATTCTGCAAATTACAGTGTCATTGTTTTAAATACTCATATATAAAATATTCATTTGGACTAAAATGAATACATTGTCACAAGGAATTTAAATTTTTCTTTTATCAGCAAAGAAATAGGAAGAGATATTGGATTCTCTACATATTGTTTCAATTCTCAGATATTAGTGACTAAGTATTAAATATAGTTGTAAATATTACCACCTACTTGCACACAGTTAATCCTAGAAGAACATAACAAAGATTTGCCAAAATCTGTTAAGTTTTGATATTAAGTTCAAGTAGAAATTATAAGCATAAAACCTGATTTTAAAATGGTTTGTGTAAGGAAGAAATACAGATTACTCATAAAAATATTTTAAGAAGTTAGGGTAAGAAATATCAATGCATGATTCTGAGGAAGCAACTGAAAGAGTCATGGAGGGATATGTTGGAAACAAGAAATCCCAGATAATAGTCATGATTCTCACTGTCTAGCTTTCCCACAATGACTGAACACATGAAAACACATGAGGAACATGACATCACCACTGAAAACAGACATGATAATTGTGAACACTCCAACACTTTGGTGTTACATATATTTTTTCCCTTGACTATGAAAAGATCTCTAAAATGTGAGCAAGGTAATATTGATTTGCCTCCTTTTCTAAAATGGAAAAGAGGAACTGGATTCAAGTCGCAAAAACATAAACCATTTGTGTGCTTATAAAAAGAATAAAACCCCACAGATATACAAGAGTCAGTATATCACACTACTGATGGAAATAAAGCAGATTGTTGGAAGTGACCTGGCTGGGTCGGAAACACCACAGTAACTTTGTTAAACACAACCCCAGGTCATAATCAATTGTAACCAAACATATACAGCATTGGAAACTGTGTTCCTTGAGGATTCCCCTTTATTTCTTGTTTTGAATTGCTTTTTTATTATAATGAATGTATTTTAAAATGTTTCAAAACATTTTTGTCTAGATTAATTTCACCTGTGTTTTATTCACATTTAATCCCTTTATTAAATAGTCTGCTTTCTCCCCCTCCCCCATTTCAACCATGGAAAACAATTATATTTGCTCAAATTGTATATTCCTAATAAACTACAGAATTCAATACATGATTTTTTAGGATGCCCTTAGCTGGTGAGTATAACAATATATACAGATGCCCTTCATATAACACAGGTTTGAACTTACACTTATACGTGGATTTTTTTCAATAAATAAATGGCTCTCCATACCCACGGGTTTCATCATCTGTGGATTCAACCAACAGTGGATTGTAAACAGTATTTTAAAAACTGCCTATGCAGAGGGCTGACAGTATGCATTGTTCTATGTCATTCTATATAACGGACTCGAACATCCACGTATTTTGGTATCCACAGGGGTCCTGGAACCAATCCTCCAAGGATACTAAGGGCCAACTGTAGTTAAGTTTTGGGGGAGTCAAAAGTTATATACCAACTTTGACTGCACTAGGGTCAGCTCCCCAACCCCTGAGTTGTTCAAGTATTGAACAGGAGTTAAGTGATTTTGCCTCTTATCCTAGTCTATAAAGCACTAAGTATAAAATACTATTTTTGTGGCAAAATACGCAGAACATAAAATTTACCCCTTTTAATCATTTATAAGTATACAGTTCAGGGACACTAGTACATTTACATTGTTCTGCAACCGTCGTCACTGCTCACTCCAGAAAGTTTCATCACCCCAAACAGGAACCCTGTACACATCAAACTGTAACTCCCCAGTGACCCCTTCCCACAGCCCCTGGTCATCACTGTTCTACTTTCTGTCTCTTTAAATTTGAAATTCTAGGTACCTCGTACAAGTGGAATCATTCAATATTTGCCCTTTGAGTCCTTATGTTACCTGGCATAATGTTTTAAAATTAATCCATGTTGTTGCATGTATCAAAATTTCATTCCTTTTTAAGGCTGAATAATATTCTGTTAGATGTTTATATCACATGCTGTTTGTTTATTCATTCATCTGTCAATGGACATTTGGCTTCAACCTTTTGGCTGCTGTCAATAATGCTACTCTCATCACTGTACAAATTTCTGTTCAGGTTTCTGTTTTCAAATGTTTGATTATATGCCTAGAGGCGGAATTGCTGGATTATATGGTAATTTGTATGATTCTTGGGGAACTCCTATACTGTTTTTTCTACTACTTTACATTCTCACCATCAGCGCACAAAGGTTATAATTTCTTCACATTCTCACTAACATTTGTTCTCTTGCATGTTTTCTAATAGCTATCCTAATTGGTCATATCCAATAAAATCATTGCCAAATCCAATGTCATGAAGTTTCCCCCTATGTTTTATTCAAGAAGTTTCATAGTTTTAGATCTTATGTTTAGGTCTAAGATTCATTTTGAGTTAATTTTTGTATATAATGTAAGTTAAAGGTTCAACTTTATAAATAAAATAAAGGTTTATTATTTTGTATGTGGATATTTAGTATGAATTTCTATGGTAATCTAATTGAAAATCACTTGACCGTAGCTGAAAGATTTTATTTCAGCTCTTTATTCTTTTCCATTGGTCTGTATGTCTGTTTGTCAGCACCACACTGTTTTTTTGTGTTTTTTTAAATTCCAAACTTTTTTTCTTTTT